TCTACCTTCCTTCACTCTTGGCCAGTGGTTGGGAAGGGCATTCAACCTTGCTCTCCACCAACCTTCCCTTCTACAAAGGAGAAGGGAAGCCCTCACGGGAAAGCTGGCACACACCAAGCAGATAAACAAGTGCTCCAGCAGCAGCAGCACAATCAAGTTTCTCCCTTGTTCCAGATGCCTGCCCCCAACCCAGGCCATCGACAACCTGATTTCCCTTTCATCACTGCCTTGTTCTCTCCCATTTTTACCCAATTCCTGCTCTGAGGTCACTCACTCCTCAATGCTTTTTTTTGCATGACACTGCCTCACAGAAGCTTGGCTCTCCCTGAGCAGAATGGTCAGGAACTGTTCCAGAATCTTCTTAAATACAACTGGACTAAAACCATCAACTCCAGAGCTAGGCAAAGGCCTGGTGAGGCCCAGCACTTGCTGGTAGCTGGAGCACGAGGAGCTGACAGAAGTCCAACTTGCTAACCTCTGTAATAGGCAGGGTTGTGCCTTCAGTGACCTGAGAGAATGTTAGCAGCGGAAAGGAATTTAGCTCCAACTGAGGCTGATCTGTGGCTCAAAATTCCATTCCTGTAACTGTGAAGAATCACCGCCAACTAGGCCTCTCCAATAACGATTTCACTCTGGGAAGAGGTCAATGTGAGAATTAATTTGTACTTTACTTTTCTCCACCTGGCAAAGAAAGCATACGTATTTTGTCCTCTTCAAATCGCACATGACACCTAATGGAAATGGCACCACCTTTGACTATCAGATGGATCTGGTTTCCAGTCACAACTCAACTCCACATGAATTTGGAGCAAACTATTCAACTTCTGAGTATCTTTTTCTTGTCTGAAGAAAACAATACATATAGAGAAAAAGACTAGGGGGGCCTCCTTGGTGGTGCAGGGGTTAAAGACAGCACTATCAAACTATCAGCAGCCACTGCAGCACGAGTTCGATCCCCGGCCAGGGAGCTGAACCACAGGGCAAGGCAGACCTCTCCTGTCTCCCCGCTGCTCCCCTCAGCAGTGGATCCGCCTATCCTGCTCCCCACTCTGTCTCTCTCTGGTGAATCCTCTCACACACACACCCCCGCACCTCTGTCCTGCACCCCAGTTCTTGTATGCATAAATAAAAAATAAATCTTTAAAAAAAGACAGGGCCTCCCCGGTGGCGCAGAGGTTGAGCATTGGGTTGCGAAGCTGCCCGCAGCCTCTGCAGCACCGGTTTGATCCCTGGCCACTGGCGAGGGTCCCACATGGCGCGCAGACCTCTCCTGCCGCCCGCTTCTCCCCTCAGCAGTGTACTTCATCAGTCTGCCTGTTCTGCTCCCTGCTCTGGCTCTGGTGAATTCTCTCACCCCATGCTTCTAACTGTACCCAGTGCTTGTATAAATAAATAAATAAATCTTTAAAAAAAAAAAAGAAAAAGAAAAGAGACAAGACTAGGAATGCCATTTGCAAAGCATCAAACCTAAGTACATGGCAGCTAGAAGACGGAATGGTCCAAGGTGGAAGTAAGGAAGCCTCCATCTTACAGGGATGTCTGCGTACCCTAGCTCACTGCTTGACATATACTTATAGGCTTAATGTCTGTTAGTCCCTGCGACATAAGGTTCTTGAGGGCAGGGAATTTGTTCTGTTCACTGCTGAATCACTGCATCTTGAATAGTGTCTTGTGCTAAATATTTAGCTGAAAAAACACAAGGACTTTGTTATGGCGGTCATCAGACATGAACAGGTGACAGTACTTAGTCTCCTCTTGTAACCCTTACAATGTCTGAGACTGGAGTGTGGCTGCGCTATCTCCCAAATCTATCTCCCCTTTATTTCTACTACTATGGTCACAGGGCAGGATTTCTGAACCTTAGTATTACTGACTTTGGGGGACATTTATTGGGGGAGGTGGGCTGAGTACCCTGTGCATCTTAGGACATTGAGCTGCATACCTGGCCTCCGTCCATTAGATGTGTGTGGCACCCCCAAGTTGTGACAACAAAATTAACTGGAGACACTGCAAAACATCCTTTGGGGGTGGGGAGAATTGCCCCTGGTTGAAAACCCCTGGTCCAGGGACATAAAGTCTTCCATCTGTCCACCTGGTCCTCCTGCAGAGCAGATCTGGAGTTCTGGACTCTTTCTACAGAACTAACAGGCACTCTGCAAACAGCCTTGAAGACTTCCAATCGCCAAAGAAGCCAGCCAAGATTTCCAAACCGTCACACCGACATTCACGGAGCAGCTTCACCCTCCAGCCAGGTGCCCGCTACCCAGCACACACTCTGCAGTCCCGCGGGGGCAGCAGGTCCCAGTTCGCAAACGGGCTCTGTGCTCGCCACCTTGCTGCCCGTGCCCGCTGAACGTCTCCTTCCTAGGATATGCTCTCCTCAAGGTCTGATTCAGTCTTTCATGCACACTCAACACCAGGGCATGCCCAGCTCCACGGCTCCCAGCCAGGAAGAAAGGGCGCCCGAGAGTGTAGGCGTCGGACATGTAGACACAAAAGCTGCTGTCCTCCAGGAGCACGCTACCAAAGGCCGGAGAGCCTAGAGGCCAAGATGAGTGACAGCACCACTACCACCTTCTTGAAGGTCCTGATGCCTTTAACTTCTCCCGCTACGGAGACAAGAAAGATGCGGGCAAGGTCGACGTCTTCTGTTGGATGTTATTTTTGCATGGAGCAGAACCAGCAGGGTAGCTAAGCTTTACCCCACCTCTTTGGAAAGTACCTCTGGGGAGCTGGGGCTGTCCCGTGTCACGGAGTCAACATTCTTTTGAAGGTGACTAATGTGCTGGAGAGAGGCTTCCCGCCCAGGCGCCTTCTCTTCACAGGACCAGACCTGCTGGGCTGGTGCCCTGACCAAGTCTGGGGCCAGGGAGAGCAGCACTTCAGTTACCAGGAGGCGTAGCAGGCGCCGCGAGCGTCAGGCAGGGCTGAGAAGTTTCACCGACGGTGTGAAAACTCGCGCTGAGCCCGAACCCCGAGCAGCGCTCGCAGGGCTCTGAGGGCCGCACCGGGCTCGAGGCCTCACGCTGATCCTTCAAGGAACTCCCTCAAGTCAACGCATCTCCACACCGCTTAGTGGACACCCCACGGCGGGCGCCGGCAGCGCCGAGCCACCCCCCGGTGTGGGAGCGTGGGGGTCGGAGCGCGCTCGCGGCGGCCCTGGCGCCCTCCCCCGCCGGCACGCGCGCGCGACTGGCCTCAGGGCAAGTCCCCTCGGGGAAGGACCCACGCGGAGCCCGAAGGGCCACGGGGCCGGGACTCCTCGCCCGCTTCCCGAGGCTGCGGCCCTGCGCCCGGCCACGCCAGTCCCCGAGTCCGAGGGAGGAGAGTGGAGCCGCAGCGCTGGGCGCCCGACGCGGCCGCACACGCGCGCGACTGCCCGACTCGCCATCTTCCCCGCCGCGCCCCGCCGCGGGGCACGCCGGGACCGCGGGGCACGCCGGACCGCGAGACGCCAGGCGCATGCGCAGGGGTAAGCCCGCAGGGAGAGGCGCGGCGACCCGCCCTGGAGGACCGCCCCCTCCACCTGGTACCCGCGCTTAATCGACGGCAGCGCTAACCAATGGGGAGTCAGAGTCCTCTGTGCGTCACATCCCGGGGCCCATCACGCTGAGGCCCCGGCCTTGGTCCAAGCGTGCGCGTTGGTCGCTTTTCTCGGGCAAACGCTGTCGGGTGCGTGAGGGCTCCCCGGCGGCGCGCGCGTCTGTGTTACCGCAGCCTCAATGACGGGTAAACGCCGCCCCGACTGTGTGCCGGGCACTGACCTAAAACGTCCGCAGTCACGTCATCACACCAGCCCTATGACGTTATTCTGACGCTTCATCTTCCGATGAGGAGGCCGAGACTGGTCTAGTGAGGGAGCTGTCACCAGACGGGGAGGATGGGGCCTCCGTCCACCCCGCCCTCCCACAAAACGGGGATAAGCTGGACGTGAACCGCCACTGTCCGCTGCCCCCCCCACTGGGAATGGGATAGGGGCCCCCAAATTAGACTGCCCAGGCTCCACAACAGCACCCCCAAGACTGCGCGACTTAAGCAGCAGGATTCAGCTCGCTGTTCCGGAGGCTGAAGGTCCGACGTCACGGCCGCCTGTGGTTTCTGGCGAGCGCCTGGCTTGCAGGTGCCGCCGCCTCCCCGCTGGCCTCCTTTCTGGGTGCTGCGGAGGGCACACTCCCTCTGCCCCTCCGGATGCGCTATATGATGGGGTCCACCGTGGGATGCCCCTTAATCCTAGTACCTCCTAAAGGCCTTGTTCCCAAATACAATCCCACCGGAGGTTAAGGCTGCCACATAGGGATTTGAGGCGAAGGGGGGGGCGTGGGGGGGAGACACAATTCTCTCCAGGGCACCCCTGAAGAATTCGACGTGAAGAATGCAGCGCACGTCTGTGGCGTTCCTGTCAGAGATGTGTGACTGAATCGGACTATGAGGAAACGTGAAACCCAAACTGATGGATGGTCCATAAATTTATGGTCTGACCATCTTTAAAAATGTCGCATCCTGAATGTCAAGAAAAGGCCAAGGAGCCTTTTCAGAGTGACAGAGACTGAACAGACACGAGAACTACACAACTGTGATTCTGAGAGGAGACCTTCTACCAGGGAGACGTTACTGGGGCACCTGGCAAAGGTCGAATGGGGGCTGAGGATTAGATGTTGTCGCGTTCACTGCGTGATTCTAATGACCTTGTCGTGGTCCTCTTTCTTCTAGAACTCTAGAAATAGCGCTTCATAACCTTTATTTTTATTTTTTTAAAGATTTATTTTATACAAGAACTGGAGTACAGGTCAGAGGTACGGAGGGTGAGAGAATTCAGAGACATAGCGGGGAGCAGAACAGGCAGACAGACCAAAGACACTGCTGAGGGGAGTAGCAGGCAAGGCAGGAGAGGTCTGCTGTGACATGTGGGTTTTTCCCTGGCCGGCCAGGAATCGAACCTGCGAGAGGCTGCAGACATCTTCACAGCGTAGCATTCAACCTGCTGTGCCACCAGGGAGGCCTACCTTTTTTTTTTTTTTTTAAGATTTATTTATGCATACAAGCACTGAGGTACAGGCCAGAGATGCGGGGGGTGAGAGGATTCATCAGAGACAGAGCGGGGAGCAGAACAGGCAGGTTGACTGAAATACATTGCTGAGGGGAGCAGCGGGGAGACAGGAGAGGTCTGCTGTGCCCTGTGGGTATCTCCCTGGCCGGGGTTTGAACTCATGCTACAGAGGTTGCGGATAGCTTCACAGTGCTGTGCTTAACCCCTGCGCCACTAGGGAGGCCCACTTCATAACCTTTTATAAGAAGCTCGTCTCATATTGTGTTTTCCCCAAGTTTTGACTCTATTTCATGTCCACATGCAGGATGAAATGAACGTGTTTTGATGGTGTCCTATGTGACCCACATGATGCATCCAGGTGACGATATGGCTGGTTAGCCTTGTTCCCTTCCTAATTCCCTGTGCCTTGCCACTCCGCTAACTCCAAGTTAGACCCCAAATATTCCCATAGCAAGTGTCTGCAGAACTCCAAAGCATTTAAAGAATGACTGTCTATTTTCTTCCAAGTTAATCTGCAACTTAAGTGAATGGGCCAGAGGATGAGATTGTTCACTATCCCGGGTAGTTAAGGTTCTCATGCATTAATCAACTGGTATTTTGGTTTATTTATCGGCTTTAGGAAGCGTGGTGGTTGTGAGTCATCTGCTAAGAATTTCACCTACTCTGAAAATGTGCTAATCAATAAAACAAACTGGGCCTGCAAGACTCTGGATTTTGCCAGATTCACTAAGATAATGGGTCAGTTGGCCAGTCCTGAAGACATGTCAGCACTGCAGTGTAAGGAACTGAGAAAACAGGTTTGGTTCTGATCTGCAGCTGGAAAAACAGATGCTTTTTCGTGCCAGGCCAGTGTAACTAGATGTCTGGGGGCGGGGCGCTATGGAAACATGGAAAGGGGACATTTGTCATTGTCAGCTCAGCATTCACAAGTGACAGGATGATCCCAAAGTGGCAAACGTGAAAATGACTCATTTGACAGATTTAGTTCCTAGTGTGGAAAAGGTGGGCTTGTTAATTAATTTGATTCACTGAGTGTTTATTGAGCATCTACTCTGAGACTTGTGCCTAGGTGCTACGGGAGACACAAAACTGAAGACTCTTGAGAAACTAGCTCTAAAACCTATCAACTTCCTTTGCTCTGGTAATGCAGCTGCCAGTAACTCCCTCATAAGAACCCCGCTCTCCTGTCTGCGGAGAGCACCTGAGCTGTGGCGGGAAGAGCAGAGTCCCTGGGCAGTTCTGATAATGGGTAAAATCATGTATGACATTCTCATTCCAATACCTGAGCTCCTCAAGGGGCAACGTGGTGTGCAGCCAGCAGGCTGCGTTCCAGGAGCTTTAGGACTGAAATTAGGGCTGGAGGCAAAGAACATGCCTCAAGGATGGAAGCTCTTTCTTGGGCTCTTAAACTTGCTTAAGGCATCCCAGAGCATTCCACACTCCACTGACCGACTGTGCCAGCACATCCAAAGGTTGTCAGCAAACCTGCGGCTTTGCTAGCGGCTGTGGGGGTGGGAGTGATGTAAATAAAACTACATCAAAGAAAATGGCTTTTCCTACTTTTTCTCATTAAATATCGGATGAGGCAGAAGGGAAAATGGGAAGCAGACATGCAGGGGAGGGAAAACAGGGCGAGGAGGGATCGATGGGTGGGAAGTGAGGGCAGACAGACTTACACATGGAGAAGGGACAGGGAGGTGGATAAAAGTGATGGACGAGGGGGTTCAAAGATGAGCTGTTTGGGTATTTACTGGGCTTCACGATACCTAATTTTATGGAATTATAGTTTCATTGTACAAGATACTACAAGTGGAGGTGTTTTCTTTAGAACAGCACAGAAATCTCTAGAAATACAAGGTGTAATAAATCACATGTGGACAACAGAGACAGCGAGGCAGGTCTGCACTGCGCCAGCAACCTGAGCCCTCAGCGTCTCCCACCTGCCCTGGGGTCTGCGCGCCACAGCAGACGAAAGGGTGGAGAGCAGCCGAGACAGCGCTAGCCGCGTCCCAGCAGCTTAGGGTTGTGCAGAACACACCTCGTTGTACCGGGTTAGCGCCTCAGGTTTGCCTGGCTGTAGAGAGAAGGAGAAGAAGTGTGTGGAGATGAAGCAGCAATAAATGAAGGGGTTTTTCCTCCTCTCAGCCAACCTCTCTCCCCTTCCCCAGCAGCCTCCTCAGGGCCCCCTTCACCTCCTTATTCCTCAGGGTGTAGATGATGGGGTTCACCATGGGTGTGACCACAGAGTAGAAGAGGGAAATGAATTTGCCCTGGTCCTGGTTGCTGCTCTTGGCCGGCAGCAGGTAGCCGTAGATGGCCGAGCCGTAGAAGAGGAACACCACCAGCAGGTGGGAGAGGCACGTGTTGAAGGCCTTTCTCCGGCCCTCGGCCGAGCCGATCTTCAGCACGGCCCGGGCGATGTAGCAGTAGGAGATGAGAATGACGCTCAGCGGGACGGCGGTGAAGAAGGTGCAGACGCCATTGAGCACCGCCTCGTTGAGGCTGGTGTCTCCGCAGGCCAGCTTGATCATGGCGGGCACCTCGCACAGGAAGTTGTCCACCCTCCGGTGCCCGCACAGCGGGAGCTGCAGAGTGAATGTTGACTGAATCAAAGAGTTGCCCAGCCCCCCCAGCCAGGCGACGGCCGCCAGCAGCCGGCAGAGCCGAGGGTTCATGATGGTGCTGTAGTGCAGGGGCCTGCACACGGCCACGTAGCGGTCGAAGGCCATCACCACGAGCAGGATGCACTCGGTCGCCCCCAGCCAGAGGAAGACATAGAGCTGCGTCACACAGCCGCCGTAGCTGATGGTCTTGTCTGGCCCCCATAAGTTGATGAGCATCTGGGGGACTGAGCTGGTGGTAAAGGCAAGGTCCAGGGAGGACAGGTTGCTGAGGAAGAAGTACATGGGGGTGTGCAGCCGGGCGTCCAGGCGGGAAAGCAGGATGATGGTGGAGTTCCCAACGAGGGTCAGCAAGTATGAGAAGAGAATGACCCCGAAAAAGATCTTCTCCAGCTGGGGGTGGTCAGAGACGCCCATCAGGATGAAGCCCTCCAAGAAGCTGTGGTTGGCCCCTGCCATCGCCGGGTGCCTCTGGTCCCTCGAGGAGTCTGTCCGCGGAAAACTGCTGGAGCAGAGCAAGGGAAGAAGCAGCTGTCGGGTTAGGCCGGTCAGCATCAGGAGGGCCAGTCCTCCGCCCGCAGAGCTGAGCGCCCGTGTCCTTTTTTTTTTTTTTTTGGTGGGACCCTTGCTGGCAGCTGGGGATCGAACTGGCGCTGCAGAGGCTGCGGGCAGCCTCGCAACCCAGGGCTCAACCGCAGAGCCACCAGGGGCGGCCCGCCGGTGTCCTTTTTAGGATCGCAGACTTTCACTGCAACCCCCAGCCCCAGTCACCACGACACTCAGGAGCTTTACGCCACCCCGGGTCACACGCGGGCCAGCTCAGGAAAGAACACGCGACAAGGAGATGAGGTCTCCCCAGGAGATGAGGTCTCCCCAGCTCAGCACAGAGGTCACAAAGGATCCTTAGAACTCGACGTGGAGATTCTCAAAAGACACACGTCCGCAGCCAACAGGCAGACGCACTCAGGGGAGGCAGAAACAGACCCGCTGGATTGGAAAAGCGTCTCAGAAATTCCTATAGAGTTTCCTCCTCGCTCTCCTGGGGGACAACGCCTGAACCAGAAACATGAAGCTTGAAAATAACACAAAGAATCTATTAAAAAAAACCAACTATATTCACTTATAGGAGGAATGTAGGGGAACCAAGTAAGGGACCAGGAGAAAAATATAATAAACAAAAAAGCAAAATTAACAGGCAGGTATAAATCAGAGACCTTCTGCAGGGGAGGGGGAGAGGGGTCAACACGGGGAGGGAGGAGCCCAAGGACTGTGGCGACGGGACGCGGGTAACAGGGGTGGGAATTCCACGGGGACTACGCCTGCGAGGAGAAAGCAGACACTGTACAAAAATGAAGAAAGATGTAAAATATATATATAAATACATTTTAAAACTCTATAAAATCATGAAAAAAAATGGAAAGTGAGTATAGGCTAATTCACCAAAACCAGGAGATACAATTATCTGAGTTAAGAGAAAGTAAATGTTGGGGCCTCCCTGGTGGCGCAGGGGTTGAAGACACAGCGCTGGGAAGCTACCGGCAGCCTCTGCAGCACGAGTTCGATCCCCGGCCAGCCGGGGAGCTACCCACATGGCACAGCAGACCTCTCCTGTCTCCCCGCTGCTCCCCTCAGCAGTGTATTTCAGTCAATCCACCTGTTCTGCTCCCCACTCTGTCTCTGGTGAATCCTCTCACCACCCCACACCTCTGGCCTGTGTGCATCAATAAATAAATCTTGAAAAAAGAAGAGGCAAATGTAGAACAAACAGAACTTTACATAAGCCCCAGTAAACTCAGGCGGAACAGAGTAAAGATAGACATGGGGCTTATCCACCAAGGGGTTAACTCAACCAGTGAGCTTCCATAACCAGCAGGGGAGACCAGGGCAGTTCGAAGAAGGTGATCCCTCATCTTTTGACGCACCACGTCCATCTCCAAACCAAAGAATAATTCTTACGAGCAAGAAAGTAATCCTTGCCAACGTGCCCCTGACTTCCTCCTTCCCGGGAACCAGTCCTAGGAGCTCCTACAGGTCATAAACCAAAGCCCTCCACTTTCCCATTACAATGAAAGAACAAACACAGCGAGAGAGCAGAAATAGCCAGAGGGCCGGCCGTCCTCACCTGGACACTGGGAGTGAGCACTCCGGGCCATGGACCATGCGCACCCCCACAGGCACCCGCTGCCACACCCCAAAACTGGGCCTGGGGTGACACCACTCAGGGGAAGCATACAGGTGTGCTGAGCTGGTGGGGTGCACCAGCAGTGGCCTCTTGGCTGAAGACCCCAAGAGCTGTCCTCCTCATCAGTGAGTAGCAGAGGCCCTGGAGTCTGGCGCTGGCGTCCCCCCCAGGCGGAGGGAACCCCTTCTGATTGCCTGTGTCCTCCCGTCAGCAACTGAGTCCTCCTAACGAGGCAGGGCTGAGGAGGATTTTGGAATTGTTAACTATTTTTGGGGGAGTGCCCACTGCTCAGCCTCTGTGGATAGGTGGGCGGAGGCAGAGGTCCCCGCCCCAGCGGGTGCACTGAGTAGCCCCAGGCAAGGAAGACATGGGACTGGGCCACCCACCCGCCAAGCTGATGGTCTTGTCTGGCCTTAAGAAGAGGCGGTTTCTTGTCCTCTCCCTGCGGACTCGGGGAGCGGAGGGGCTGCCTCTCTGCTCGTGCCCTGAGGTCCCACTGCCCGTCTCCCGCCAGTCTGGTCTCTGCTGACCAGCGTTGGTGGCTGCCTGGGATGCCCGAGTTTCATTCAGCCCCGCCCTCTGCCCAGGAATAACCAGCCAACACAGGAAAGGGGGGGCCGCAGCTGGGGTGCGGAGGCGGAGGCAAGTTGCCCTGCCCTTGGCTGGGCCTGACCCGCTCCCCTGCCAACATGACCGTGACCACAAGTTTAAATCCAGCAACCAAACTCTTCTGCTGGCAGTTTTTCTTCCCTCAGAGGGCGTTTCTCCTGGGTTCCTAGTTCTCTCAGTCTGGGTATGTCAAATTTAAGCACATTTATTTATTTATGCATACAAGAACTGGGGTACAGGCCAGAGGTGTGGGGGTGAGAGGATCCACCAGAGACAGAGTGGGGAGCAGAACAGGCAGATGGACTGAAGACACTGCTGAGGGGAGCAGTGGAGAGACAGGAGAGGTCTGCAGCACCATGTGGGTAGCTCCCTGGCTGGCCGGGATGGAACCCGTGCTGCAGAGGCTGCGAACAGCTTCACAGCGCTGCGCTCAACCGTCTGCGCCACCGAGGAGGCCCCACCACTTGCATTTTAAGAAGATTCTAGGGCTTCCCTGGTGGCACAAGGGGTTAAGATGCAACCTATGAAGCTGTCCACAGCCACCACAGCATGAGTTTGATCCCCGGCCAGGGAGCATCCCACATGGCGCAGCAGACCTCTCCTGTCTCCCGCTGCTCCCCTCAGCAGTGTGTCTCAGTGGATCCGCCTGTTCTGCTCCCCACTCCGTCTCTGGTGAATCCTCTACCACCACCACCACCCTCCCCTCCACACCTCTGGCCTGTACCCCAGCTCTTGTATGCATAAATAAATAATTTTTTAAGCATTTTTAAAAAAGATTTATTTATTTGTACAAGCACTGGTACAGTCAGAAGCGCGGGAGGGTGAGAGAATTCACCAGAGCCAGATCGGGGAGCAGAGCAGGCAGAAGGACCGAAGGACACTGCTGAGGGGAGCAGCGGGCGGCAGGAGAGGTCTGCACGCCATGCGGGACCCTCGCCGGGAACCGGGGATCGAACCGGCGCTGCAGAGGCTGCGGGCAGCTTCGCAACCCAGCGCTCAACCGCTGCGCCCCCGGGGAGGCCCCAATAAATAAATCTTTAAAACAATAAGAGGATCGCAGAGCGAATCCAGGAACGGTGCGAGGCGGGCGGGGGCCCCGGAGACGCGGGGCCCCCTCTGCCCGCCCGCCGAGTGGGTTTGAGAGTTTGGGATACTGAGAAACGCAGCCGGAACGTGGTGTGCCGCCCCACAGGTCAGGTTCGTCGTATTTTCGTGAGAGGAAAGGGGGCGGGGGGGCGGGGGGCGCGGCCCAGCCGCGGGGGGCCGGCGGGCGGCGGGTCGCGCTCCCCGAGAGCCGGCGCGGCCGCGCCCCCCGCCCCGGGTCTGCCCGCTGTCCCCGGGCCTCGGGCTCGCCCGGCCGCTGGGGTTGGGCCAGCGAGCCTGGGGTGGGGGCGACTCTCCTGCTCCCCCCGCTCGGGGTTCGGGCCTCGCGCGGCCGGGCCGGGGAGCCTCGGGACAGGGACCCGCGGCCCGACCTGACGTCCGACCCCGGCGGAGGCGTTTCCCGAAACGTTTTTGTTTTTCAAATCGTCAGGGCTCGGGAGAAGCCCGGCAGGGCCCCGGGGCCGGCTCGCGCCCGGCGCCCCGCGCGACCCCTCAAGGAGCCGCGGGGGACGCGCCCGGCCCGGCCCGGACAGGCCCGGCCCGCGGAAGGCCGGGGAGGGTGGGGGGACGGGGCTCCGCCCCCGCGCTTGGGGTCCCGCTCTCGAGACGGGGCGGGGGGGGTGAGGGGGTGCACTTACAGAGACGCAGCCGAGGCCAGCGAGGCGGGCCCTGCGCCCCCCTGGGGCGTCGCGGGGAACAGAGGGGCCGGGAAGGAGCGCGCGGGCGGCTGGACGGCGGGAGGGGCCCCCGCGAGGCCCGCGCGGACACGCCCCCCCCGCCCGCGCCGGCTGTCCCGGCCGAGCCCCCGCGCCCGAGCTCGTGGGGGGGTCGCGCCCGGCCGGTCTGCGCGCGCCTCTGAGGAGCGGGCGGGACCGGGGCGCAGTGGCGGACCGCGGCGGACACCCCCCCCAGCAGACCCCCCGACGTGCCCCGCGCGGCCGCGGGGGCGGCACGGCGGACCCCGGCCCCGGCGAGCGGAGGGGAGCCCCGGCCCGCCGGTCTGCGCCCAGGGAGCGCCCCCGCCGCAGGCCGCGCCCCGAGGCTCTGGACTCAGGACCCCCGCGGCCGGCCTGACCCCGCGTCCCCGCCGAGCCGCCCCGACAGGCGCGGGCTGGGGCGCAGCCCGGTCGCCGCCAGCCTCCCCCCGGAGGGCACCCCCAATCCGGCTCCCGTGAAAGGCCCCTCGACACCCGCCCTGCGCTGCCCCCGGGCCCCGCGCCCCTCGGCCTCGCCCTGCGCCCGGATCCGCATCCCGAACCCACCTCGGCCGGCGCCGCGGCCCCGCGTCCCCCCGCAGGCTCGGCGGGCGGGCGAGTGCGGACCGCGGGGACGCCGCCTTTAACCTCGGCGGCCCTCGAGGCTCCCCGCGCCCCGGGGCCGCCCGGCCCCCCCCCACGTCCGCCAGGCGGGCCGAGCCCGTCCCCGGGCGCCGCCACGGCCTCCCCGCGGCCCGCGCAGCCCGACCGAGGGGGCCCGACGGCCGCGCCGCCCGCCGCGGGGCCGCCTCCCGGGCCGGGGCGCGAACCCGCGGCCACCAGGGAGGCCCTTCCTGAGAGAGTTTTCTCTTTCACACTGAAGTGTCTGGCTCTCCTTTCACTTCCACGTAGGGAGGTAGAAATAGGGTTACTTTTCATTCACTAGGAGCAGATCCAGGGCCTCCCCGGGGGCGCGGCGGTTGAGCGCTGGGTTGCGAAGCTGCCCGCAGCCTCTGCGGCGCTGGTTCGATCCCCGGCTGCTCCCCGGCCCCCGGAGGAGGGTCCCGCATGGCGCGCAGACCTCTCCTGCCGCCTGCTGCTCCCCTCAGCAGTGTCCTTCGGTC